GTTACTCTGTTAACTTGTTGCCTAGATGATCTGTCCAATGCTGAGAGATGTGATCAGGTCCCCCAATATTGTCATAGAGTAGACGCTTCTTCTGTCACTCTGAAATGGGTTTTGTGGAAAGAGACATCCTCTTCTTTTCTTTGCCTCTGCTGGTGACTCTTCTTGTGTGAATGCACTCCAGTGGTTGGCGGACCATCTGCGTGGTGGTTGTGGCGTCTAGCCGCTTTTGCAGCAGCCATGGTTATTGTGGTAGCTGTGGTGGGCCATCCATGTGGAGGTGCAGTTTTTGGCATGCTCCTTGGCTCTGGTGGTATGCCTGGTTGTGGGGTGTATTTGGTCCCCTTCTCCATGCCTCTGGTCCCTGGGCAGGCCCCAAGGCACTGGCACCATGTGCCTGGTTGTGGGAGAGGACTCCAGTCCCCTTCTCCATGTCCTGGGTCCCTGGGCAGGCCCCAAGGTACTGGCACAGTGTGACTGGTTGTGGGAGAGGGGTTCAGTCACCTTCTCCATGTCCTGGGTCCCTGGGCGGGCCCCAAGGTACTGGTGCAGTGTGCCTGGTTGTGGGAGGAGGGTCCAGTCCCCTTCTCATCTAAATTCAGTTTAAGACATTTGCTAATTTGTGTTTCAAGAGTAATACTTCTGATATAAGATGCATTTTCTAAAGCACTTGTGAATATCCAAAATGAGGTATGCTATAAATAAAAAGTTGCTTTAATAAAATGTGGCATTTCAACCTTAAAATATCTCATTTCTTCTGGAGAACTTCCTAAAAATCTAGATTTTGAAACAGTGCCATAATAAATGAAGGTCTATTACTAAAATTGTTTCTTTTGTTTTTTTTTTTTGGTGGCTGGCCAGTACAGGGATCAAACCCTGGACCTTGGTGTTGTCAGCACCACACTCTAACCAACCAAACTAACCGGCCAGCCCCTTCTTAGGATATTTGATGTGGATGAAAACCTTGTGTTTCTTTAAGCTTTTTCTCTGTGTTCTTTCATTTTTAAAAACTTTATATATTAATAATATCTGACCTACAGAAAAGTTGTAAAAACAATACAGAGAATCCCTGTATACTCCATACCTAGATTCTCCAAATTTTAACATTTTACCACGTTTGCTTTATCATTTTCTCTATGTACATATTACTATCGTTATTTGATACATATATAGTCATGACTTATATATTCATTTTGAAATGTGTTCTTTAAGATTAAAAAAGTATCCTTTGTCATGTTTAATACTTGGAATTAGGGCAGGAATTCTACTTTGATGTCAGTACAGTCGATCCTTGAATAATACAGGGTTAGAGGTACTGATCCCTTGCACAGATGAGTATCTGCGTTTAACTTTTGACTCCTCAAAAACTTAGCTTCTGATAGCTTGCTGTTGACTGGAAGCCTTACTGATGGCATAAACAATTGATTAACACATATTTTGAATGTTATATGTATTATATACTGTATTCTTACAATAAAGTAAACTAGATAAAAGAAAATGTTAAGAAAATCATAAGGAAGAGAAAAATACATTTACAGATCCATAAGTGGACTTGCACAGTTCAAACCCGTGTTGTTCAAGGGTTAACTGTGTACAAGTCCTACTCTTTTTGTTTCCATTTGTGTCGTCTGCCTTTGCCCCTTCCTTTATTTTAGCTGTATTTTGTTTTGTGAGCCAAATTGAGAATCTTTTTGTTTAATTAGTGAGATAAGTTCATTTATATTTATTGATGTAACTGGTCTATTTT